TTAAACTAGCTTTTATCCTTAAAAAGTCGTTACGTTTCGAAAGTGAATTATTGTCAATTTATTATTGGTTGCCAGACTTATGCATGTTTGCGATGGCTTAGGGGTTCATTTGCAATTTGGTCCTGTACCGTTTGTAAGTGTGCTTCTATGCTGATAGTGTACATGCTTTTTTTCTTTTTCTTCTTTTTTTTTTTTTCTTCTTATTTGTTTTATTATGCTTATACTCAATTTTATTGTTAATTAATATAAGTTTTGCATTAAGAGCCAATTGAACTCGACTGTTATTTGTTTAGTTTAGTTTCTAGCATAACTGGAATAAATAAATAAATAAAAAAATCATATCATAGAATTTGCTGTGGAAATGCATTTTTCAGTTTTATACGCTTACTCTCGTGTGCACGCAATTTTTATACAAATACTTGAACAATTATTCAACAAATGTAAACATATGGTGAAACGGGACATCGCCAAGCGCCTCCAGGAAACAATACTAGCACGGGTTGTCTTCTTCACGGAGGTAGGCTCCTGTCCCGACGGAAGAAGCCACAGAAGAAATCTGCTAGGCTTCATGATCAATTTGCAGCTGACGGGGGTAAACTGGGTGCAAAAAATCGAAAAAAACGTGTCTTCACTTTAAAAGTGCAGCTTTCTGATCGCTGCTTCGCCGCCTCCTAAAAGTGCAGCTTTCTGATTGCTGCCTGGCCGCCTCCTAAAAGTGCAGCTTTCTGCTCCCTGCCTCGTCGCCTCCTAAAAATGCAGCTTTCTCATAAACACGAAAATTGCTCGTATGTCAAAAGTAAGTTTGCATTTACCTTTACTTATTCTTATTTATAATTTATTTAATTACTTCTAGTTCATTTTAGATAGAACAATTCATCCACTTGGGCTACGAGGAGCAATGTCGTTTGCTTTGGCTATAAGAAACACTTTATCAGAAGCCCGCTTAACCTTGCTAACCGCCACTTCTTTAGTTGTTATATTCACAGTCATCATCCAAGGTGGTGCCGTGAATTTTTTACTTGAAAACGGGGACCTAATACAAAGATGTTTTAACAGTCCTCGTGGAGGCGAATTTGTTGAAATTGAATGGTGACGTCACACACGCCTTACGGCCGACTGTCACTTTTATACCCACCATAACGTTGGACGGTTCCCAAATGTCGCCAAGCCGCTATATTAAAAAATATATTCGGCGAAATTTGCAAAATTGCTGGAGCACATGAAGATATCGAAGCAAGTTGTCGCGAGTATCTTTAAAATTTCCAAGTCAATCAGTTCATGACGTATGTTACGCAACTATTGAGTTCTTAGTTGCGATGGCTTGCCCACTCTTCTACTCTTCCACTTGTGTATAAATTTCAGTGATGCACTACGGAATATCATGGTTTATTTAACATTGAAGAGTTCCAGATTGTATGTGTTCACCAAAGGCTTCTATTCTATTTTGAGGTATTCTTGAATATGTGCTATATACATGTACGTTTTTTTTTTTCATAAAGAGTTTCCTAATAAATCTTATATATTGCTTTTTAGACAAAATTTGATATTGTGACTATATTCCAATTGATTGATGATAGTACGAGAAAAAAGTGTTTTGTTTTTTATTTTCGTCAACGTGCGCAGTGTGAGTACTTGTAGAAAATTTTCTTTACTCTTTGAATTCTTATTGCTCCCGGCACAAATATGTAATAAATTATCTTTTTTAAATATTTGACCATTTTGTTTGTGTAAATTGTGTGAAAGCAAAAGAAGTACCATCTATAAACCAATTCTAGCTTTCTTACCGATAAATCTGTTAACTAACCCAGCATTACATTGATACGGCGTTGAATTTCTTTCGTTTGGCATTAATACGTCTTTTAACTCGTGGCCGTAAAAGTACACATATCATCTACAATAATTAATTATTTAGTTATATTGGGCATTGGGACTCATATGCAAATGGCACTGCAGCCAATGCTTGTACGCACTCTTGATGGCATGGATGTTACCTGTTACCATATTGGAACTGGACAATATCACAATGCTGTTGTTACCAACGGTCTATTGCTCACTTGGGGGTGAGTTATTTTTTATAAAAAATATGTTTGACCTTGCGGATGTTTTATACCTTTACCAGACTACAACCAATCGCCACGGTAACTATTTTCCTATATTCGCTTGTTTTTCTAAACGCATTACATTCTGTATATTTAATAGTAACATGTGTCAGTGTCGAATGGCTAAGCAGACAGATGGGTACACCGTGCTTGAATTGGCTTAAGCAATTGTGGCGGTTATTTCTTATACCGGCTACGATATGGAGGATGCCAAGATTATAAATAAATATGCCTATGAACGTGGTTTCGCTCACGGTAGCATCTATATATCAAAATGTTTTGAATTGAGTGGAACTTGCTATTTTGCTCGTAATCCGCAAACGCCAGAGCTTCGCGAACATTTAGATAATGGCGGCTTACCTTATCCGGGCAGCAGACTTGAATATGGTAGTTAAATTGTTCTTAACATGAACTCAAAAGTTTATAGTATATTTTAGTTTTGACAAATGTGTAACACGTATGTGTCATAATCCTGAAAATGGTCCTTTGTTATTGGCTTGGATATTGGTGAACATACGGTATACCAACGCTTCGGAAAATGGTCAGCAAGTTGCCGTCAAATGGGCAAACGAGCATTGGATTTAAATTGCTTTTCGTTTAGGCATGATATGATTTCAAACTCTATATATAGAAATATATATGTATAGAAACGTAGAATCAGTTTTGGCTGCTTTTCTAATATTCTTTTGCATTAGATCGATTCATTGGTCTCCCGTATAGCACGCAAGACGGTTTACAATATGTTGTGTTGTATATGCGATTATTTTGATGGCGTTGGTTCTTGTTGTAAATATCCTTATGTATATGACTTATTAAGTGAACTATTGGCATGGCCCAGTTTGGCTAAAGATTTTTGTAGTACAAAGGGTAATTAAAAAAATAATTTCAAAGCTTTCAGCCAAATATATATATTAAAATATTATTTCGTTGAAAATTACTTTCCACGCAATCTTTAGAAGAAGAAACTCTGATGCCACAAAGGTTGTGTATCAAGTGTGTAAATTTATTAAAAAATATTTACGTTTTCCTCTTAGAGGCGCGAAAGTTACACGAGATATATTTGAAAAATGTTGTGAACAATGAAGACTGTTTGCAAGAACCACCAATTGAGTTGCCACAAGAGCCAGAAATTATTGTAGATATTAAGTCAGAGCAGCAGTTATCGAAAACTCCTTCACACTTCGGTCTAGATGGTCTAGAAGAAGAAGCAAAGCAAGAGCAATTAATGGAAAATGCAAAAGAGGAAATTGATGAAAAGGATGAGTATTACCTAAACGATGTTGGTCCACCGGGCGATTACGAACACGCTCAGTCAGATGTTATTTTAAGATTGGTTGGATGCTGAAAGGTACATTAAACCAAAAAATGAACGCGTAAGGAATTCCGAATTTTATTTATGTTCAAGGAAATACCCTCGCAAAGAAGATCTACAAAAACATGTAAAAAAAAAGAACATTCTAACGATTCGAAAGCAGAAAAACAAAGGTCTCAGAACAGAGTTGCGAAATCGAAAGACTTTCATTTATGTAACTTTTGTGGTCAGTCCTTTACAACACGGGAAATACATCTGGCCGTAATGGTAATGGTTTAGGGTTTAGAGCTTTGTTAGGATCATCACCATGACAAGATGAACCACTAAGTGAACAAAACATTGAGGATAGATATTATTGTTTGGAAGAATTTTTCTTTAATTTCTTAATACATTTCTTGCTTGGCTAGTTATAAGAGCATATGATTTCAATATATCTATCTGGCTTGCAAGGAATATTTTTGTACATATATGTATGTGTTTTTCTTTTTATCTAAGAAATAAGCAAAAGAATCTCATCTAGCACACAGAAGTATTAAAAACAAAAAAAAAATGTTTTTCTTAATAACAGTGGTGTGTAGTTATTTTTTACTATATAGTTTTATTTCTATCTGCGAACAGGTTTATTTCCCTGTACGTCATCAATTAGTTACGCATTTGGTCAATTATATGCAACGCTTAGGTTTCCTTCCCAATGCTTCTTTGGAACAGAAAAAACTCTCTGTGGATTTAGCCGAAGTTATTATCAAATGGGAATTGCAACGTATTAAAGAAGACGAAACGGACAAAATATTATCAGGCGGCATGGAAGAAGACGGAGATGACTACACTGCTTTAAAAAGAAGATGCAATGAGGATTATTTATTTATTTATTTTATTTATTTTTTTTCCACTTATACTAGAAACTCAACTAACAAATAACGGTCGAGTTCAATAGGCTCTTAATGCAAAACTAATATTAATTAACAATAAAGTTGAGCATAAGCATAATAAAACAAATAAGAAGAAAAAAAAAGAAAAAAGCATTTACACTATCAGCATAGGAGCACACTTACAACCGGTACAGGACCAAATTGCAAATGAACCCCTAAGCCATCGCAAACATGCATAAGCCTGGCAACCAATAATAAATTAACAATAATTCACTTTCGAAACGTAACGACTTTTTAAGGATAAACGCTACTTTAAATGCGACATAGGTAAATCGCGCGTATTAAGCAATGTTGCTTTAATGGACTTTAAAGAGTCCGATAACGAGAATAAGTGGTAGACGTCATTTAAGTTCTTGCAAACGACTCTGAGCGGATTGAACAGCTCGTAATTAAATTTACACTGATTAAGCTTAACCAAGATAAAATGCCTAGAGAAGCGGTTAGGGACATTAAAGCTTATTTCACCAAGTAATGAAGGCGAGTCAATAGCACCATTTATTACTTTAATTAGAAAGGAAAAGCCAAGAACAAATCTACGTTTCTCAAGAGACGGTAGGGACAGCAGAAGCAACCTATTTTCACACGGTTCAAAAGAGGCAACCGGATCCCAACCCAAATTTCTAAGGGCAAACAGCAAGAATTGCTTTT